AAATTAAACTATGCTTGGTTTTCTTTCTCTATTTTCCTGCCCTAACTCTGGTTTCTTAAAGAGAAAGTCATGGTAGGAAAGTGGACCAGGAGTCAATGAGGTTAGGTTTTTACCTGGATCCTTCTATCAACTCACTGTGTGGCCTTGGGCAAGTCAATTTACCTCTCTGGGAATCAAATGAGAGGAGTTGAACAAATAAATGGCTACAGCTCCTTCCAATGTAATGAATCCAATATGCCAAGCCACAATCCTCAAGATGACTTACTTCATCACTGGTGACACATTGTTGTGACAGCCGGTTCATGTGTAACCACAATGCATTCCGGAAGAAGTTGATTCGTTCACATTCTTGAGCCTCAAATACCTACAAAAACATAACTACATGTATGCACATATGCAGAGAAAATGAACCCTTTGTTTAGAATGGCTGTGACTTATGAAACAGTGTCAACTCTCAATTATCTGTAAGCTTACTGGACAATTTAGGGTACTATTCCAGCACCTGGAGTTCCTGGTGGTACAAATGGATAATGGAGTCAGCTGTTTAAGCTAAAGGTGGGATGTGTGAATTCACTGAAAGGCACCTCAGGACAAAGTCTGCTGATCAGCTTCCAAAAACATCAGCCACTGAAAGCCCTGTAGAGTGCAGTCTTGCTCTGACACAATGCGGTCACCATAACTCAGTGCTGACTTACCAGCACATGGCTGGCCCCACCACCCAGGAAGCTGATAAACTCTTGCCACAAAGTCTATAAATGGATTCTAATATTGTATTAACACAAACCAAATTGGCTACAGTTTTGAAAAAGTAATGATGATCCCGGACACCAATGTTCTAACATGAGTACCAACTCACATTTCTAATTGCCTAATGGGCTTTTCCAAGGGGCCCTGGTGGCACAGTGGTTAAGCGCTTGGCTGCTAACCAGTGGCTCTGAGGGAAAAAGATGTGTCAGTCTGCTTCCGTGAAGATTACAACCTTGGAAACCCTACAGGGTGACTCAACTCTACCCTGTAGGGTCACTATGAGTCAGAATCGACTCAGTTGGTTTTAATTGGCCTCTCCACTAGGCAGCCTGCCAGTCTCAGATTCAAAACCCTGCACCCTCCAGGATGACTGAACTTGATTGGCAAGTTCAAGTGTTGGTCATAATTGTTGAAACTGGTTGACAAGTACATGGGAGTCTTCATCATTATGCATGTTTGAAATTTACCTTAATAAAAAAAGTTAAAAGTTACCACCTGAACAATAGTTTTTTGGATACCAACAAATACAGCTTTTGGAAAAATCAAACTAGTCTACAAAGTTTTTCAAAGGTGGATATTATATATTGATGTGCTTTTTAAAATAGTAAATATCCTAGCTATTACATTGTAGAAGTTTCTGTAATGTAAAACTTCCAAGTTATACAATAATAGAGGGAATACTGTCATGAACTCCCACTTAACATTTATCATTTATCACTGTCATCTAACTCTGTTTACCTCTT